TTTATTATTTTACTATGGATTAAAGCGCACGCGGGCCACACAGGCAATGAGGATGCAGACACTCTTGCAAAGGAAGCTGCAAAGAATATCGGTGCGCAAGATGTCCAGATCCCGCTTCCCAAATCTTATCTGAAGCGAGTCTGTCGCATTAAATCGCAGCAACAATGGCAAGAGGAATGGTACTCTATATCGCAAGGCCGTAGAACCCATGACTTTGTCCATAGAGTTTCCCAAGATCGACTCATCTCAGCCCCTTTTCTTTCCCGTTTCATTACAGACCACGGATCATTTCCCCAATATTTCTATCAAAGGAGAATATCAACAACTGATCATTGTGTCTGTAATGAAGTAGGTACACCTGATCATTACGTTACATCTTGCTCTCTCACGGAAGAATGGCACATGAGGCTTCCTGATACTGACATTGCTTATAAACGCTTCTTCATTAAGCAGCCGGCCTATCTCAAGAAGCTCAAAAGCATTATGAATTATTAGCATTAGAACTAGAATTATGCAGCCCACAATAACAGACTTAAATTTCGCAGAGATTCAAGCATCAATCCACACTGGTTTCCAGTGGCATCTGCAAGAAGCCCATCTTGAGTCAGTACGCAGAGTAAAATTAGGCTGGGAACACGAAAAACAAATGTAAATATGATTTAATATTATCCAAATGTATATAGTTTAAGTATGTATATTTGTAATGAGCATATTAATGCATGGGTGCAATATTGTAAGCATGTGCATTTTATAAACAGAATATTGTGCAGCGTATTGTGAATAATGTATTGTACAGCACACTGTGTATAGTAACACTGTGCATTCTGTACATTTTATTGTATTGAGTGATTTATATATAGCAGTGTGTTAACGTGCATATTATGAAATGTATAGCGCATGGTAAATACGGTATTTAATGTATTTAACACATGTAATTTTTTAACTGCAATTAATTTAATCTGTAATTTTTTCCCTCAATGTGTATTTCTAACAGTGTTTTTTATAAGCTTTCTGTATTAAGAATTATGTTGTGTATATAACAAAGAGTTACTGCCTATATTATTTAATCAAGAGTAATGTTCAATGTAATATGTAGCCACTACACACAGTGCATTAAGTGTAGAAATGAGTTTTGTAAGGTGTCCTAAATATAGTGCAGTGTTCATTGTAATATGTATTATAAACATTTTAGTATATTGAGTGTTTTATATACAGCAGTATGTTAAGGTGCAATGTAACCAGTAGAATATTTAATTATAAAGTTATTTTTGGTATGTTTTAAGAATACAGCAAAATTTATGCCACAGTTAACTTTTAACATGTTATTTAATCAAAAGTAATATGGGCTGTACTGTGTCCTTAAATCTGTATTTTGTATATTATAAGTACAGCGCAAAGTAAACAAAGAGGATTTCTGTGTGCAAAATGTGTAATTTGCTTGTAATGTGCAATTTTGCTCTTTATTTAAGAGCTCTTAATTAATTTATCTGTTGTATCAAGTTATTTATTTAAGTCTGTCTTATATAACGAAGTTATGTACTATATAATCCAGTTATGTCTTATTTAAACAATTACATTGTTCAGAATCTATGTTGAATTGTCAAGAATAATGTTCAGCGTAATAGGTGCAAAGAATATATAGTGTATTAAGTGTAGCATTGAGTTGCAAATGTGCCTTAAGTACAGTGCAATGATCAACGCAATGCATATTATGAAATGTATATTGTAGCGAGTATGTGTAGCAATGTGTTAGCATGCGATGTAGAGAGGAAAATGTTTAACTCGCACGCAGAAAAATCTATATTTTGCCCTTGTATGGCCATGTACTTTTCCCTTGTATTGTTTTCGGAGTGTAGCTTCAGATAATTGCGGGATCCGGACGATACCGACTAGTCTATGTAAGCCGTCCGGGTGTCCGGACCTGCTCTCACCTGTCACCTGTTTAAGTAAAATGCACAACGTTGTTTTGAACATTCGCAGTTTAGATGTAGTTTTTTCTAGCTGCAATTACCAAGACCATCAAAATCTTTTAACAGCTTAACCTTTTCTTAAGTATTTTCGCTTGACATTTCGACAAGTTAAGCCCACAGCAAATTTTTAAAAAAAATTCTTTTTCCAATGATTTATTCAAATGTCAAAATTTACGTTTCCAACAGAAAGATTGTCCTAGTCGATCTGCCAGTTCACGAATACAAACATGACCTATGCTTTCCTTGATTTTTCTTCAGTCTACAGTTACCACTCTTTCCCATTCAAAGACCCTTAACGAGCGGTAATGCTTAAAAGCATTTCATGAACATTTTATAATTCTTTGTGAATACAATGCATCTGTCCCTAGAGTAGTATTCTGAAGATGAAAATCTTAAAACATGGGATACATAAGTTGCAATTTCACCTCTTATTAGCTGGTATTCGAGAAGGAGCTTTCTCTCATTTATAATGCCTCTAGAGAGCTGTTTTTGTTTAACTTAAATTAAGGAAATTCTGCCGCTCTTAAATCCATTGAGAACAAAAAGGCTCTGAAAACAGTGCCTCACAGGTATAGGGACCAAGGGGAAGAAAAATCTTGGTCAAACCCGTTTTATTGAAGCACTACAAACATGAAAGATAAAGCCAAAGTCCACAATGCTCTAAATAGGTTAATTACGAAAAGCTTTGATAGGTACAAATAGGATATTCTGGGTCTGAAGAATCAGTTTTTGCCAATTTGAGTTTAATAAGCTGTGGCGATGAGCTCAATAAACGGCTTTTTTTCTGTTGATTAGTATGTATCTGTTTTGGGTTTGGAAATATGACTGTAATAAGCTGTTGAGTTTGTTAAGCAGTGAGTTTAATAAATGGCGTGGACTATATTCACGAATGAAATAATTAATTTAAAATATTCAACTACTAACAGACTAAAAAGAAAATTTTTATTACTTAATTCAGTGAATACCTTCAGGAATGAAGGAATTCGAATGCTGCTAGAAATATAATTTTTACTGTGCGGAGATATAATACAATACCATAGAATTCTTATCAGTTTATGAAACTCTTTCGGATCTACATTATCAACTTTTCCTTTCACACACAAGAACATGTAATTATAACACATACGAATATAATACATGTCTCTGCTATTCCGTTCCTTAGAATTACTCTAGGAATATAATTAAAACAGGAAATTAATTCTCCTTTTATGAAATACTTTCACTTCTTTATTTTAATAATCTACAGAATATAAAAGAGATTTTCGAAGTATTAAAATTTTTGTATCGCAAAAAAAAAAAAAAAAAAAAAAAAAAAAAAAAAAAAAAAATCTTTTCAATGTAGTCATGCCAATGAACGAGCTAACACGCATTATTTTTAAAACAGAAGTTGATAAACAGCAGCTAATATATGCAGTTTCTCAATAAGAAAAAGCATTTGTTGTAACACGTATGCAGCATGAATAAACCTTAGGCTTTCAGATGCATAGAAACGTTCCTTTTCAGAAACGAGAAGGACTATTAAACTGTAAAGAATTAAGCGCAGTCTTTCTGTGTGTCCTAGCAGCATAGCAGTCAACACATCCAGCTAGAAATTTGAAGGTGTTGGCTGCCATTTCTCATCAAGGCACAACTCATTTCTGCAGATTACTATTAATAAGAAACATAGCAACTCTATCAAGGTTCGCATCATCATCTATATTACCAAGTTCGCACATTACTGATTCTTAGTCTGCTCAAAAGCAACTTCTTCCTTCTTCCCTTTGTATTTTCGTTCCTTTCACGTCTCTGAGTAAGAGATTAATCTTGTATATCTGACGACCTTATACTACTGTATACAATAATATTTCATTCTCTTGATTTAACCAACTAGATTTCGCTGCTTCTATTTGTTAGCCTTTAAGTCAGAAATAATGTAAGGAATTAACGGCATTCCTCTCGTGTATCTTTGTAGTTTAGTAATCTAGTTAGAAACTGGATGATCTCTGATTCGATTGCCGTAAAAGATAGTTGATTTTTCAGGTTTTTTAGGCGCAAGGATTAATACAGGATTCCTGGTTATCTTTGCCTCTTCAAGATTCTTATCACAACAAACCTAATGATTCTACAAATGGTCAGGTAAACAAATACTCTGTCAATAAAGTAGACAATGTAACCAAGAACCAACCAATTCTTTGGTAGATATGATGATTATCGGCGAATGATAGAACTTGAACTTTTAAACGCATCAAGTTGTCTTTAATCAAAAATGCTTAGTGAACTTATTAGCCTCAATTTTAGAAATTGCAAAGGTGGAAAAAACAGCTGGCAAACAAGTTTTCCTGAGCTGATTCCTTATGATTCCTTTTTTAATGATATCTAAAGCCCTGGTATCTAATCACAATTCAATAACTCTAGAATGACTTAATCAGTATACTTCAGGTAATATCTAAAGTATCTGCCAATACCTTCAGTCATGCAGCATGAAACTATGGAAAGCGACTTGAACATTCGCCAGTAAAGTTAGTATTGTAAGCCAGTAAAGTTAATTTTATTTTTTGTCGTTTGTAGTATTCATCTTTCTTCTTTCCCTTACTTAAAATTTTATGAACATTTCCTTCAAGAATTTTTCGGTACTTTCCAGTTCAATAAACACTAAGTAAACTTTTCTGACGTGCAACATGAAATATTTATCATAATCCTTGATTGAGTTAAGATATGCTCGTTATCCTTAAAGAAATCTGAATCTAGTTCATTGAAATTAAGTCCGTGAACTAACGCTTCTGAGCTGTTGAAAGATTTTACCTGTCTAATGTACGGATTTTACTATTAAAAAGCTTATATACAATGAAATCTTAAAACAAAAAGCAACTGTCTGATAATACAGAAGAATGGAATTTCTAGAGGACTGAAGAAATATCATAAATGGATTGGATATATGTTTAAAAATTTGGTTTGTTCACTATTTGAAACAGAATAACTACAGGAATTAAATAGTGTATAAATAGTGTATAAATACTTGATATGAAGTAAATAAACATTAATAAGCAAATGTGAAATAGATTATGACAAATTAGTTTATTACAATATGGGCTATAAAATTCATAAAAACAAACAATAAGATATTTTCTTCATTTGTCAACTATCGGCAGATGTACAACATGCATAATACTGGAAGCTCAATGAGATAAAAGCACTGTTACAACGTCTCGAATACCATCAGAAAGTCAAATTTATTTTAAAATTTTTTCTGACACCAAGAAACAAGCGAATTCATAAAGCCACCTGTATTGCTCCTGAAACAGAGAATAGAAGCAATAAATTAAAGCTTTTACAATCAATTAAATTAAGTTTTCACAATCAGTACGTTAAGGTAAAAAATATCTTAGAAAAATATACTAAAATTTCAATAAAATATTATAGTTAAATTAGAGCAAATTAATATTTATCATCTCATTCCTCTGACGTCCACTTGAACAAATCCACGAAGAAACATGAGTAGAAGATGAAAGTAACTTTTGCCGGTCAAACTTGTGCAAACTAGTGCAAACTTTCAGCCTTCATCAAGACCACTTCAAGTTCGGCAAGACTGAGAATCTCTTATTCTTGCAACAACCTCTAGAATGATTTTGTCGCCTGATCGGTAAAGTGATCAGCGATGCTGGCTGCTGTTTCATTGGGCCCTGGGTTCGAATCGCGGAACAGCATGGATGTTTATAAGAATATAGTGCCTTTGCGGCACTGGGGCATTTAAAAATACATCGTGAGCCCAAAGCCCATTCGAGTGGTTTGCTTGTAGGGAAAGAGGTGTGGGACAGCCTTGGAATCGCTACTAAGGATAACTCTCAAAATTGGGACACAGATGGACAAAGTGGTGCTGTCCGCTTTAAAAGGTGCTGAAGGAACATGACGACGATAGACGCGGTCCTACGCATTTCATGTCACAATAAAACAACAGACGCAATCTTGAGCTCTTTGCCAGAAGTTTTCTGGTAATATTGTCAAACAAGTGAGATAAGTTGCAACAAGAACAGAATGTTTTAAAATTTAGCACTCATACTTCTCTATATTAACATGAAACAATTTCTGCGTTAAAGAGTGCTGTGTTTATCTCTGTTTTTAAGATTGTATTAATGGGAAACTACGCTAATAAGAAGCAGGAATGATTATAAATGAGATAATAATTTAAAGGGTAAGAATTAAGTTCCGCTCTGATCTTTTTTAAAAAGTTGGTTTTCTACGGTTATATGCTACTTAAAATGCTAAACTAGTAGAACCGTAAAGACAGATTCCTTATCATCCCATCTTATCTTGTAATTGCAATAAAAACGTAATTCAAAGGTAAGTTTCAAAATAAAACCTATTTATTAACACTTTCTTCTGACGTTTATACAAGACTGATACAAGAGCAGAAATAAAGTCTGCAGCTTGCGGGAAATATAGAAGAAACTTTCAAGTCAATTTAGTGTGAAGTGAAAATGTACACCTAGATAAGTTAAGCTAAGACTCGGATCCAGAGTATTTACAAAAAAGTATTTAAAAATTCAATATATATATTATTTCCAAAGTATTTACAAATGCTGCTTACCGAAGTTAAAAGCCGATAAATTAATACAATTTCAAGAAGGCATAAACACAGATATAGGTCAGTAAGGCTGCCTAAGTTCTGTCTAGAACTCTGGAATTCGTCGCTCTTGTACTTCAGCTAATGTTCCTTCTGGTGACAAAAGTAGAAGAGAAACTACAGGCAAACTATTAAGATAACAGCGTTAATTACCATAAACTCTTATAATTTCGAGCTCATAGTCTAGGTTTTCCCTCAATATGAGCCTTAATGTCAGATTTATCAGTAATAAAATCATGGTTACACATATGTAGAAAACACATTTAAAATTTCTCAATAACTTGGAAATCGGAAGCATAACCAGGATTAGGCAATTATTAATCCAACTTCTATAAACAACATCTGAAAATAGCATTATAAGCTACGCCTGCTAATAAAAGTACAGTGCTTTGCTTTTATATTTCGTCGCATACATAAACATATAGACAGAATCTAACATATTCCACAGTTCAGGTTTTCATTGATTGTGCTATATCAAGAGCGTTTGGCATCATTCCTACGAATATGCAAGACCCTTTCTCCTTGTAGCACTCTTAAGCTTCTCTGCTCAATGTTATCTTATTAGGAGAATTTTATTGTGAATAAAGGAAGGAAACGCTAAAATTAAAACCTATAGCCTAACCTGAAAGCTCTTTAATACCTTTAGAAGTAGCGAGATGAAATTCATAATATTCTTTATTATTAAAGAGTAGTCTTGCCCTATATTCGTTCAGTGTAATGGTCAGTCCATTGATCGCTAATTCAGACCTGAAAAGACAGCCTGATTACAGTTTAGGCAAAAAAAAAAAAAAAAAGTTCAGGTCTAAAGCCTCAAGGTTTAGAAGTTAAAGGGCTCCAAATCGTTCTATAATTTCTGATGATCATTTTTTCTTTCATAGAAACAAGAAAAATGTATCCTGAGGGCTCTTGAAAGAACATTTTGCTTAGGGCAGTATGTCTGACGCGTATTGCGTCTGCAAGGGTATTTTATCAATGATTTCTTGATATCAAACGTCCCAAGTCGACTTACTCACAAGTTAAAATTTTTAACCAAATTTTTTATAATACATTAGTCTAACCAATTTATATCGCTTTACTTACATAGTTAGTAATACAAGTATTGAAACAGTTATTTTGCCAATATACTTACCACGGTGGGTATGAAAGCTGGCCTATGTAATCGCACTGTTCGTACAGCTTGCACTACATCCGCTTGCCTAGTGTCATGAATTTGGCCAACTAGGAAAGAAGCAGCGCAGTAAAATCCTGACGCCCTGCAACCGTCACTGTAAGATTAAAACCAGATCAACATCATGTAATAAGATTAACTATGTTTTCCAAAATAATAGCCGTAATTCATACTGCATTTATGTGCGTTAAAAAAAAAGTAATATCCCAACGACAAGCTTTATGTTGAAAGAAATACAAAATTTCATCAATTGGTATCTTGAATAATTTCATAATTTCACTCTCACTGACAAATTCATCTAATTCATCTTCTTTATAGATACCAAAACAGAACCCAAAATTGCTTCAGATACGTGATTAATTTTATTATAAGCATTTCTAGCTCTTCTAACTCAGTATTTACTTTATTCATTATTTCTTATTTGTGCCGTGTTAAGGCTCCGTTAGCCACACCTTTATGTATACGCAGTTGTTCCATAATAAAGTAAAGTAAATAAATGAAAGAAAACACACCAATTTAAAACTTCGTACTCTCGGTAGCAGCTCCATTAGAGCGTTATCCAAAGTACAGAGTATCCAGGAGAAATGAATTATTTATCTTTCTAACACCACTAAATTTCCGGATCTACCAGACCAGATTATGTTAAGGAAGGCACTTACTTCAGTGCCTGAACAAACTCTTCTCGAAAACGGCATCAAAAAACTGGACAAATGGAGAATTTTACAACGAATGTTACAATACTTTTGGAAGAGATGATCTGAATAATTGTCAACTCTGCAAGCCAAGCCTAAGTAGCACAGGGTTACAAAAAATCTGGAAGTAGGAGATGTATTGAATAAGCGGGAAAATGTATTTCCTGTACAGTGGAAATTGAGTCGTATTATAAAGACAATAAATTTCAAGTAGTTGATATACAAACTGAAAATGGAATACTGAAACGTGCAATAGCAAAACCTTTCTTGGTACTAACAACATAGATAAGAACTGTTACAAACCGTGAACTAAGCACTTTTGAACTTCTTGTTTTTTGCTTTGTAATTTATTATTATGGGAAACAATTTTGTTTTAGTATTATGTTTTGTTTTAATATCTGCATTTATGTTATATTAGTATATTTGCTAATGGTTGTATTTAAACTCCTCTTGAGTGCTTCAAGGCGGAGGTGTGTTAGAGATTACTTTTCAGCTTTTTTTTAAGCACGGACTAAACGTGACCTCGAGCGAGAAGTCATGCACAAGTATAGGTAAAACTAATTTAAAAGTAGTACTAATTTTAAAATTTTAAAAATTCAGTTCAATGTGTACCTCATAAATTGTTATTCCGGAAGTTTTTTCTGTTCCTTTTTGAGAAGAACGTAGTTTTTCTTTTATTTATCAGCGTGTCGCTCAGTGTATCCGGAGATTAAACATTATTCGAGACACTCCGACCGTCCTTGACCGTCGTATGCAGTTCAACAGTGAGTGTGTCCATCGCTTGTTTCTGTGAATGCAGTGGCTTAGTATTGTGAAACATTTTTACGGCAATGGGTTTTATTTATTGCACCAATATTTAATTTAGAATATAAAATAACCAGCGATCTATGAATACCTTGCGTGATGTGACTTTATCATATTTAAATGGTTCGTCGAGCCGATGATGTTATCACCGAGAAGATTTTGCTCAGGCACTGACGTCAATGCCTTTCCTATAATACGAGGTCTAGGAGTAAGAACAGAGAGATCATTAGTAACGTTTAACAAAGAACAAAGAGGTCTGGAATTTAGGAAGGCCATATGAATTACATATGAAGAACTCGCGTTACAAGTTCTTCATATGTAAGACTTGCCTTGCTTGCTCTACATTTTAATGAAATTTTTAACTATATATAGTCTTTGTATGAATAAAACTATTGTTTGTGAACAATATATTTATTTAAGTTTTACCTTTATTTATCTTTATATGCGTATTCTATATGTTTGAGACAAAGAGAGAGCATTTCACAACTTAAAACGTTGACGTGATAAGCAAAAACTGAGGTTAGGTTTAGATATAGAGGCCAAAAGTTAGTCAAAAGCAAGTGACATATCTAAGATACCGAAATTGCTGTCCCCATGTTTCTATGCTTTAATAAATCGTTATTTTCTCATTTACAAGAAGTACAAAGATAACAATTCTAGTATGAACTCCAAGAACATTGCCAAGAGGTAAAAATTTAACTAGAAGATTTATTGAAATTTACGTCTTGTAGAAGAACTAAAGATTAGCGAGATTAGCTACCGCAACCTTGAGAAATCTCAGAAATTCAAACAATTAAATACGTATAACACAGAAGACAGCTTACAAAAGCCTCGCTAACCCGACTCCAGCTACCGTGGTTACTAGGTAGTGCTAATAAAATCACTCTCCAAAATACAGCTCGGAGTGCAGGATAATATTTGAGGGATAAACTACTTTCTTGCGGGATTAACAGGGCTATCTTTGTGAATCACAAATTTTCCCTCTGTTTAAACGCCCGACGTTGGAATACAAGGTACAGAGAAGAATTAACGTAAAACTAGCGCTATTAGCTAAAAGTATCGTTAAAACTATGATTATAAATAAATGGACTTTTATTTTATTTGCATCATTCATATGGTAATTGTACTAATTGCGAAAAATTGTGTTATAAAATCTTTGCGTCGACATTAATATTATGCAGGTAAAGAATTTTTAGAAAAACATAAATCAATTATGTATTAATGACTTATTCTTCCTTATTCAATTTATTAACCAGCGTTGTTGATATACTTACTAACAAGTAACAATGACAGGTACAGGCTTGTTTTTACGAGACCATTTGTCAACTTTTGCTATTAGTTGAACTATAGTATCCACTTGCGGAGGAACGAATTCTTCTCTTCTCCAACCATGTAAGTGGAACGTCTTTATTGTTCGGTGTTTCTGTAAGTAAGAAGAGATGTAAAATGAAATAATTAAAAACAAAAAGATGATAATGCTTTAAATCCAAATCACCATTACAACTAACAACATACTATCATAATGCGAAAATAAAAACATTTTGTTGCAATTTCCTTTTCATAATTGGAAAATTTCGTAATTTAAATTAAATCTAATAAATGCATGTACTATATTGTCATGCATTTAAAATTGAGTAATAAAATTATAAAATGTAGCTCAAGGTTCCGTGAAAACACAAAAGAAATAAATTTAAGCATAATTTAGCATTCTTATACTCGAACTACTACTATTTTCCCGTGCAATTAAATAAATATTATGAAATACAGTATCATTACTTATCTATTTACTATTTATTACTTATCTATTTTTATTCATTACTTATTTATTTATTGACCACAAATCAAGTTTTTAAATTATTTATTAAAAATGTCAGAAATTTGTCAAAAATTAATATTTTGATTTTTTTAATTTGCGAAAACATGAATGTTGGCATTTAAACACTTCTATAATTAGAAGTATATGACTACGACCAACGATTGCGGAAATGATTGCAATACAAAAGGGCTGCTAGATGTTTTTTCACAACTAGATGTTATAACAGCTCCATATAAAACATTTCAATGTTCTACGGCTAATTACTTTTGAGTTATGCGAGATGCATACATACATACATACGTACATGCGAACGCCCATACGTACAGACGTCACGAAAAAGTTCCCTTTTAAGTCCATCTTACACTTTGTTTTTTGGAAAAAAAAAAAAAAAGAGTTCTTTATTTGGTCCGTACGTACAGATGTCACGAAAACAAAATTGCCCAAATCAATTCGGGAACGATTAAAACTGATATCTCGGTTGAAATATAATACACAAAATTTTTCTCAATTACAAGACCTTCTTTTACTTACTACAAGGGAATAAAATGAGATACACTCGTATGTTGCGTATGAAATATGTTAATCATTGCATCACTCATCAAGCACAAATAATGAACTGTGAAAAGCATTAAATTGTTTGTTATTCGTTTGTGGATTTAGCGATTATCATTAAAAAGGAGGTAATAGATAGTAAAGCATTTTGAATTAGAAATATAAAAAAAATTAACGAAGAATGCTGAATTAAATAATGTTCTAAAGTCAGTTTTGGCATTCTAAATTTCAGATAACATTTTACTAAACCACATAAATGAAAGAAAATTTTGTAGAGCTACAAACGTTTTTTACTTACCCCTTTAGGATTTTTAATTCTAAATTTTCGAATAAGTACTCCTCCATAATATTCATTTTCGGAAGTTACATGTTCAATTTTAATGCTGCCATGGTACAAGCTGCCCGAAGACGGCCAAAAAACAGGACAGTTCTGTAAATGAAGGAATAAAAAAACCTGATGCATTAAACATTATCTAAGTACAAAAATCTTCTGTCCTTTTTAATTTTATTAACCTATTTTTGTATATTTTTCAGAAAGCTGAATATTAAAAAATAGCTTCAATGATCAAATTAAACAAGCAAATACTAATTCAGAAGACAAACAATAAAAATCAGCTTTATATTTTCAAAAAAAAAAAAAAAATTTTTTTGGCAGGACTAGTTTCGATGGTTTTACCGAACCACCATCCTCAGCTGCAAAACCGCAAATGAACAAGATAGGAAATAATAACTAGATAAGATAAGAAAGCCTGGACAGGAATCTTATCTTATCTAGTCATTATTTCCTATCTTGTTCATTTTCAGTTTTGCAGATGAGGAGGGTGGTTCGGTAAAACCATCGAAACTAGCCCCCCCAAAAAAAATCAAAATATAATTTGTTGCTTTTCCTGATTATAAATAATGATTAAATATAATTGCTGATTTTTGTTGTTTGTCTTCTGAATGAGTATTTATATTTATTCGGCGTGTTATTGTGTCTTAATTAAACAAGCAAATGTTTGTTCATTAATTTGCAAACTTACATTATGCTGTAAGTTCCATTTCATAACGTAGTTTTCGTCTATAGGGGATGTAATGGTGTCCCCTGAAAACATCGAGGCAAAAACTTAGCGTACAAAAACGTCGTACAAAACATCGCAGGAAGAAAAGAAAAAAACAAGAGAGTTCTAAAACATCGCTTTATAAAACACAGTTGTAAAAGGTAAAGCGTTTGAAAACCTTGCACTTTTCAAACATCAAAGTAACAAATATCGCGGTTAAAAATAAACCAGCTACAAAATCATCGCATTACGATAGCATGAGACGCAGACATGAGTTTTTAAGATTTTAAAATTTGTAAATGTATATTCGCATAACAATTTGTGATCGTAAGAAGGATTAGACACATTTTTACCTCTACATTTCCTATTTTTTGATTAATTACTCATTTTTTGCTAAAAAAGCATGAAAGAAACTTAAGCATTAAAAACATGAAAACTAATAGAAAAGTAATCCTATGTATACCAGCTAAAAAATTTTTAATTTATGTACTGAACTATTAAAATTCATCATTTAATAAATCTCTTTTATGAAGTTGTATTAAGGGAAAAAGTTTGTTATTCATCATCTCTTTCGTAAAAAATCTGATGTGTACGCCACATAACTTCCTTGAACGGAATATTAAATAATATGCCCTTTTTTGTTGCATTTCATTTAAAGTTATTTCCTCGAATTTCATTAGAGATATATTTCTCCTTCAATTAATTTAGTTTTCCGTTTGCGAAAAGGCAAAAATATATAAATACCTCAAAATAGTTTTATTAAAAATTCAAAAATGTGGAAAAATGTAAATCACCAAATACAATTACAACAGTTAATTTTTTTTTCATTTCAAATTAAAGTTTTTACGCAAAAATAAACAATTCGGCCAGCGTGCAAGAAGGCATATTTTTGGGTGCACAAAACTGAAAGTTTACTTTTGGTTCCACTCAGCGAAAAGACTCTGATGGTAGAAACTGACCTAATTCACATTCTGCTAAATTTCAAATGTAAACAAATATGGCTGCTATGGCAAAAAAATGGCTCAGCCACACTTAAACAACTTTTAAATTGTTGATAATTCTACAACTATTGCATGCAGGTTAACTAAAGGCATAAAAACCTTAACCGGAAGATAAGAAAAACACAATTCAATCATTTTTAAAGCCAAAAATGCACAATTTACCAACATATAAGAATAAAATACATAAGCTCACGGATCGAGATAACAGAGTGGGTACATATATATATATTCAGTGTTCTGAGGATATTCGTTTTTGAGTTATGCGAAATACATACATACATACATACATACGTGCGTACAGAAGTTATGAAAAAATCTCTTCTGAACCCATTTTAAATCCTTTTTGCAACCCGTTTTGAGGAAAAAAGAGTCCTTTATTCTGTTCTTACCTACAGATGTCACGCAAAAAACATCGTTAAAGTGCATTCGATAGCGGTCAGAATGGATATTTTCGTTAAAATATGACACCCGAAAATTTTCGCGATTACAATACTTCTACTTCGTACAAAGAAGTAAACAAATAGGAAAGGGAAGGTAAGTAATTTAACTAATTGAAACAAAAGATTTAATTTTTACTAAAAGAATATAAGATTAACAAAATGAAGGAAAATAATTTTACAATTTGATAATTAATTAAAACGTTTTGGTAGAGGTAACCTCATAAATTACTCGTCTACTCTTTTTTAATTTTTGTAGATTACATTTTCATGAAAACATGCTAACCCAACTTCAAAAAAAGATGAATTGCATAATGACTTTTAACAGTTAAGTATATAAATTTAAAACTCTTTTAAGTGCTATATCTAGGAATATTTTTCTATTCATTTTCAGATTTTAAATCCTTAAAATTCCTTCTTACTTTTCTAGTAAAAAATTATGAATTAATCCAAAAATATAAAACATAGGAGGGAAATATATATATTATGTGAATATATATTTACATATTTTAAAGCCTGAAAAAATATGTCTTCAATGTTATCGTCATGCAATGATTTATGGGTGCTTTATTTTTTTTCCTGTAATATTTTTACGACAATCATTTAAAACTGTGATGTTTTTGAAACGCTTTATTTTCGACGATCATGTTTTATTCCACGATATTTTAGAACTAAGACGTTTTCTACTTGCTTTCTTTTCTCTCACGATGTTTTTGCTGTTCATTGTTCTCCGCGACGTGTTCGTTCGCGATGTTTTCCCTCGTAACCATAATGAAGATGTACAAGTGCAATAAAAAGTGTATTTTCCTGCGAGCAGTTTATTTTGAATATGTTTTGATCGAGTACTTGTGAACAGTTATTCAAAATAAACTGCTTGTGAAGAAATACTTATTTATTAATACTTCGATTTATCAATCAATCGAAGTCAATTATTAAAAATTTGGTAAATGCAATTTGAAGTTTGATTTCATTTATTTATTTCATTTATTAGAATTAAAAATCTTTTTTTTTTTTTTTTCTATTCGGGTTTTGAAATTAAGGGAAGTGACTTATAATCGATGGCATCTTATGATCGGAAAAATATGGTATCTATACTTTCAAGTGCTGAAGAACAGTTTGTAGTGGAACCACTTGTGTTTCTGGAAAACAGTACTCATTATTGTAGTTAAAAAATTCAATGGTTCTCAAGGATACGTAGATCAGAAGGAAAACAACAATTACTATCTATACAACGTTAGAAATAGGAATTTTATGTTACGTAAAAAGTATAGCTGGTAGTAAAAAGAAAAATTTCGTTTCATTTTTGTAATTAGTACACAAAAGTTTTTAAGTTTTTAAATCAGACATTTAATAAAATTACTCTTATTCAGTATCATCGTCTAATAAACGGACTAGCTGATAGAATATAAACGGACTGACATGAAAACAAAGAAGGTTAGATCATCTATCCTGATCTAAGGTTAGATCAGGATTATAAATACATCATACTCATGAGTGCATAGCGGTCTATGCACTCATGAGTATGATGTATTTATAATCCTTGATAATTTATTTTACATATACTATGCTATATTATAAAAGATTCGTAAATTAGTTTTATAATTAATATGCAAGTGGCATTAAATGATACAGATATATTTCGAGAGCAATGAATCAGTCTCTTTGCCCTAATCGGATACTTGGCTAGAGTGATGGCTAAACAAAAGCATTGTTTGTTTATCTATCTATCTATATATTATTATTTAAACATATATATAATATCTATATTATAATATTATTGTATATATAAGGTTATATATATATATATATTATTGTATATAATATAAGATAAAAAGGAAATTCTTCATGTTATGCTAAAAAGCAAATGTGATACTGTGGTTCCCGTGTAAAAGTTTTTAGAGCACTATGCAAATATATATATATTTATATAGATTATTATAAATAATATATATATATATATTTAAACAAATTAAATTTAAATTTTAACAAACACGTATAAAAGAGAAAAGCAAATTTAAAGCCAAAATTAAAAAAAAAGCAAATTTAAAGCCAAAAAAATTAAAATATATATATAATATATTATATATAGATGTAAGATAAAAAAATATGAATCAGAATTATAATATAACTATAAACATTAATATGTAAGATAAAAATATATGTGTTATAATAAAAGCACAAGGAAAAGCCGGAGCAGTGTCGATGCGTAGATATTTGAAACTTAAAACGTCCATCCATTTTGAAGAATAAGTAATCGAGCCGGATTAAAATAAATAAAAGGATTAAATTCCTTTTATTTATTTTAATTCCACTAGTGGCCACAATTCAATTGGCACTCTACTCGTGCCTATTGAAGAACATTTTTGATATTGTTTAGATAGAAAGCAAGCTAGCGAAATTACATCTTAGCACAGTAGAGAGCAAACGCTAAAGTGCGTAGTTATGAAAGATGGAAGCAAGTGAAGAGCAAAGTTTTTGTTTGCAATTCGGTGATTGGTCGTCAAGAGGCATCTGGTATTAATGGTACGTGATTAATTTGAATGACGCAATGCAGAGAAGTTATTACGATTTTAGAATAGAGAGGAAGAATTAATGTTTATAGTTATATTATAATTCTGATTCATATATTTTTATCTTACATATTATATAAAAAACATACGATGGCTTAGCTCTTTGCGAACCAGCAACCTTTTAATTTTCTGCAATTCAGGATCTTCCCCTTAGACCATTACCTTCTAGAACATTCGCACCTATTACATAACCTCCTCATATAAATGCTGCGTCATAAGTTTTTCTACATTTTTCTAGAAGCTACTCTGTTACATAACCTTTCATATAAATGCTGCGTCATAAGTTCTCCTACACAGATGCCTTCTCGCCTTCGTCCTGCTAACGCTTCCGCTATGCTCCTCTTACTTTGTTAGAACGTTATGACGTATTAAAGTTTAAAGTCAGTCGTATCTAATAGTTCAACTACTGAATAAGTTATTTGATTAACTCCATCTGGAAAAAGTCATCTACTCTAAATTAAAATAAAGATATGCTTGCTGTTAAAAGTGAAAAGCCCTGAGTCGTTATGTTTCTCCATGTTTCAATCATCCCAGCTTCGTCAACCATCTGCCAGAACGTGTAATGGAATAGCCTCACCATTCGCCCACGATGTGTTGGAATAACTGAAAACATTACATTTACATTTAAAAAAATGTGTAAACATATAAAAGATTTAATTCTAGAACTAATCTACAATATCATTTAAATTCAGAAGCATAAGCAAATCAAGTGCAAAAACAATCCATGAAAAAATAAATTCACTAATTAAGCAAATTAAAATTAATCCAACAATTTTTTTTTAAAAATGCATAAGTGAATGACTGTTGAGCAGGCAGGAGACAGACTTATCAAGGGGAAGTTGCCTCCAAAACTAACTCTCCAATCATTCAATTCGTGTTCCGTCATTTATGCTGGCAAAGGTAAAAGTCAAAACCAAAAGCAAAAAGTGAAGAATGTCCAAAAAGAAATACCAATAAAGTGGTACCCTTAGAAATTAGCATTTAGGAACTAAAGTTTTAAAAGGAAAATACTAATGAAGTCTTTTGAGAAACAAGCAAGTAAAGTCAAGTATTAAATTAAACTTTTTTTAAAAAAAATTAAATTAAAAAAAAACTAATTTTTTATAAAAAATAATCTAGAAACAAATGTATTTTAGAAACCCTTGTCTACAGAAACCTTCCCGACACGAATATGCATATCAATAAAAAGAAACTAAAAAAGTAATAGAAAACACGTTTCATAGCCAAATAATCAGAATAAAAAATATATGTACTGAAATAGACGATTTAAAGGAAGAAATAATAAAGCTAATTAATATTCAAGTTGATAACCAAGTACCACCAAAATTTATGAATTTATATAATAAAAAGGCAGGCATTAACTTTATAATTTTTGGCTCTTTTTGATATGATAACATTACCTTAAACCTTAGCTGGAGGGTAATGAAGGATAAAGAAGAGTAAAGAAATTATTCGTAAATTTTTATTGTAAATAAATTTGTAAATATGTATATTTAATCAATACTGGATTCTTTCCTTTTACTAATAAAGGGTCAACTCTTTTCAAAAGTCTCAATTATAGCCCGAATTGAGTGAAGATTTTAATCATCTTCTAATTTTCCATTCTTTAGCCAGTATTTAGTTAAGTTTTGATATACCAGTTAAATTCAAGTTCATTAAACTTTCAATATTTTCTTTCTTTAAATGTAACTTCTTTAAGGAATTTTTGGGAAATTACTGGGAATTTTTTAGAGGTTTTTTAAGGACTTCGTTTCAAAAAATTTTGGGAAAATTTTTTGACATTTTAAATTTTGCTTTAAAACTTTCATTTTAAAACATTTCATTTTTACTTAATTACTTTAATTATTTGCCTTGCAATTTTTACACAATTTTTCAACAGAACACACATTTCACATTACAAACAGTTTACATTTATTAATTCACAATACCACTTAACTCTATTTTACTTCAAGCAAACTTACCTCTCTTGATTGGCTTAACTCCCTAAATAATTTATTGTTAAAATTAAAACTTTATTTACCTTTAGGATTTTTAATTTTTAATTTAATTTTTTCTAGATATATTTTTTAATATTAATGTTTGCAAAAAATTTTTAATATAACAAAGATAACAGCTTGGCATCAACTTTACCTACATAAGCGCCATCCTATATAATTAATTTGAAGAACACACTTACTTCTCTTAAAAACACTTTTGCAGACCCCAACGCTCATTTAGTAGGTAGTTAGAATTAAAACTTACTATTTACTTGCTTTAAGTATTTTTAATTTTAAAATTTTTTATGTAGAATTTAAGTATTTCTAGATTTGAAATTATATTTTTAAGTATATATTTGTTTTTTAAAAAATTGTAAATTAGTTCTTTATATTTCTTTTGGTTTATATGATTATGTCTAGTTCTTTTTTTAGTTTCTTTTATTGATATGCATATTCGTGTCGGGGAGGTTTCTGTAGACAAGGGTTTCTAAAATACATTTGTTGCTAGATTATTTTTTATAAAAAATTAGTTTTTTAAAATTTAATTTTTTAAAAAAAAGTTTAATTTAATACTTGACTTTTCTTGCTTGTTTCTCAAAAGACTTCAATAGTATTTTCCTTTTAAAACTTTAGTTCCTAAATGCTAATTTCTAAGGGTACCACTTTATTGGTATTTCTTTTTGGACATTCTTCACTTTTTACTTTTGGTTTTGACTTTTACCCTTGCCTGCATGAATGACGAAACACGAATTGAATGATTGGAGAGTTAGGTTTCGAGGCAACTTCCCCTTGATAAGTCTGTCTCCTGCCTGCTCCACAGTCATTCACTTATGCATTTTTAAAAAAATTGTTGGATTAATTTTAATTTGCTTAATTAGTGAATTTATTTTCATGGATTGGTTTTGCACTTGATTTGCTTATGCTTCTGAATTTAAATGATATTGTAGATGAGTTCTAGAATTAAATCTTTTATATGTTTACACATTTTTTAAATATATATATATATAATATATATTTAATTTTTTTGGGCTTTAAATTTGCTTTTTTAATTTGGCTTTAAATTTGCTTTTCTACACTTTTATACGTGTTTGTTAAAATTTAAATTTAATTTTATTCCTTGCAGCAATAGCGCAAAGAATTATTTAATTAAATTTGTATTTAAATTTCTTTATATTAATTTATTTAATTAAATTTAATTTCTTTTGAAACAATTTATATATATAATATTAATATATATATATATATCTATATCTCTATATCATCTCTATCTATCTATCTATATCTATCTATATATCTCCCTATATCTCTCTATATGTGTGTGTATATATTCTACTTAAAAAATATTTTTCGTACTTTACAACAATCCTTAGTAATCTGGAATCATTTTTTTCACATTACGTTACAGTTAGACTTTTTACAATATTTCACAGTTAGCAAAAAATTTTTGCTACAGAACACACATTTTTACATTACTTAAAAGCTTACAGAATAAGTTTTTAAAATATATCTAACAGATAGCAGCTGAACACTCAACCTTATTTTCGTGCCGTCTATTTATAAAGTTTGAACAAATACACTACTTTACATAGCTTAGTTTGGCATACTGCTCCACTCTCCAAATACAAATATAGTTGGTACGTTAAATTAAGACTTACTATTTACTTGCCTTTTTAGTATTATTCATGTATTTTTTATAAATAGTATCTAGTTTCTTTTTGATTTATATGCATAATTCGTGTCGGGGAAGTTTTTTGTAGGCAAGAGTTTCTAAATTACTTTGGTTTTCTAAAAAAATTTGCTCTTTAATCGACTTTAATTTTATTCTAGTCTTTACATGCTAATTTCTGAAAATTCCACTTGTTTAAATTGCTTTTTAGTAATTCACAACATTTGGTTTTACTTTTGGTTTTGATTTTTCCTTTTACCCTTGCCTACATAGATGACGAAACATGAATTGAATAATTGAAGAGTTAGGTTTGGAGGCAACTTCCCCTTTATAAGTCTGTCTCCTGCCTGCTCAACAGTTATTCACTTATTTTTATAAATTTTTAGGATTAAAAAGTTTATTGCAATTATATATTCATAGATTTTGATATTTGCACTTGATTTATATATGCTCTCAAAATTTAAATGATATTTTAGATTAGTTCGCAGCAATAATTAATAATTTATTTGTAATTTAATTTCATTTAAAATTTAATAACTTTAATTTGCTTTTTACGAATACAGGATGTTAAATTCAAATATATGGGTGTAATATATTACTTTGTATAAGATTTATTACACTGAAACAAATGGTGTACAAAGAAGAAACTAGAAATTTGTTCCTCTGCATATAGCCGTAAAGCCTACCAGTGGTAGCCAGAGATCGTTGAACATTGATAGTTCGATTCAGGTTCTAACCCCGAAAAGCGAGTGTATAGCTGCCTTTGAAATCTTTTCAACGTGCAAATTAAATTGAAGCCCATTTATCATATAAATCTTCCACGAAGACACCCTTCCCTTATAGAAAATTAGTTGTGATACTCTTTGTCGTATTCGATTAAAAACAATGTATCTTTAAATATGGGTATAAAATACACTTATTACTCTCATTTTGTCTATTTATACATATGGGAAAATATTTGCCCAAAAATGTAATTATTATTTATCATTATTTAAAAAGAATAAAGAAAAGATAAATCAGTGCAAGTGAAATGACATCTTGAGAAAGAAAAGTAAAACACTGATGGGAAAAAAGGTGCCTCTTAACTCCAACGCTTAAAAATTATTAAAAAATTCTAAATGCTTGTTGTTGATAACGCATATGTAACAAATAAATGAACTGAAATGGAAAGAAGTGTAGCTGTGATAAAATTGCAATTTGTGCCCCCCTTTTTCCCAAATAACTTAATTTTTGATGTTCACATAACTGTTTGATTTATTTACGAAAACTCTCTGTAAAAGTATTGTAATAAATTAAATTTTAAAGGGAGAACAGTTTTGAAATTCATGGCAACATAAAACCGAGTCTCGATTTTGTATCTTGAATATCTTGCGGCCTCTTTATGTGACTGAGTTCATCGGGATTTGCAACTGAGGCATAGTATTTAGGCCTGATGCTTCCTCTGTTTGCATAAAATGGACCTTTTCCACATTCAACACCTGGTCTCGCAGCTTTCTGCATGGGATAGGTATCAATACCTCTAACTTCACAATCCTTGATTTCAATATCAGCATATTTCTGAAAAATTTCTTCTTCCTCGTCCAAACTCCTCATATGATTCATATAATCTTTGATGTCTTCTAGCGTTTCTGCACTTCTATCACATTGGCGCTTCTCAATTTGGTGCATTTGTAAGTGTTGAATTTCTTTTTCCAAATCTCTACGTCCGCGCGTTTTCTCATCTTCCAATTTTTCGCTTTCTTCTACGAGTTCCATGATTTTTCTGCGTTCTTGATATCCCTGCAGTAATTCATCTATTTTTCGTTTTTCTTTTGCTGCCATTTCTTGTTCGTAGAATTTCTTGAATGCAGCTTGAGCTTCTGCAAGCTCTATCTCCTTGATAGCACTTGCTTCGCGATATTTCTTTTCTGCTTCCATTGTAGCTTTCTGCAACATGGCTTCTTCCTTTGCTTTTAGAGTAACGCTTTGGTCAGTCAAAGTCTGAGCTACTCGATTTCTACGACTGTCTTTAGCTTTATTCATTTTTTCTTGAACCCTTTTGTGTTCTGATATCATTTCTCGTTTGGCTTCGTTGAAGAGTTCCGCTTTTTGCTCCTCTGCTGCATCCAGTTTTTGGTGCACTTCAAGAAGAGCACGTTTCGCTTTAATCTGCTCATCCAGCCTTTCTTTGTAAATTTGAATTCGTTCTTTTTCTTCCCGTAGTTGCTTCAACTTCTCTTCTTCAGCTTCCTCAGCAGCACTTCTAATTAGAAGTCCATCTCTAAGGATTTCCCACTGTTCTTCTGATTTCTTTCTCGAAGCCTAAAAAAAATTAAAAGAGGCATTCAAAACGTTTGTAAAGAAAATGTCATATTTAAAAATGATGAATTATCATCAGTAAGGTAGCATCACAATTTTTATTTGAATGACATTAGTGAATTTTATGGAAGTCTCATAAAAGTGCTTTACCCCAGTTATTAAAATCCAGGTAATGAATTCAATTTATCAAACTCTGTCATTATATTTGAAGAACTAAATGATTTTTATACGGCTTGTTTGTTTGGATCAAATCTTGAAATTGCTTTTTAACCCCTTTCTACCCACCCTATTTTTGTGGAGGTTTTCACACATACATACTTGCAATGATAATACAATACTTTACAGGAATTACAAAATTTTGATCTTTACCCCACCGGATAGATCATAACATAGTCTTCCAAATGAACACGCTTTGGTATTTTTAAAACGATCTATCGAATTTTAACAACTTTTCAAATTATTAGAATATTTTTAACTATTTTGCTAGCAATGGAATTTTTTATCAGGTTATCTAATCTTTCGTTAGCAAAATTTGATTGTTAAGTTATGATGAGATTGGATTTTCAAATAGAACTGAAATTTAAATGGATTATATATAATCTTACATCAGATTGGAAGAAATACTTTTCCTTGCTCAGCTACAGTCATTTTCTTTCCTTATTGCTTTGCAGTGTTTTATAGATCAAAAGTACATAATTAAATATACAAAAGCTTTGCAATTACTATGTAAAAAGTTTATAATTTATATAAACTTTATAATTTTTAAAAATTACAATTTAAATCAAACGCACTAGAAAGTTAAAAATATCTTTTTATCTATCATAGTATGCTTAACATCGGATTAGAAATAAAATTGCAGGGTTCCCATATAAGAATTGTATTATAACGTTAACATAGTTTCAGAGAACAACAAAAGTTATAGTATAGACACACAAGGTGATTCAAAAATATCTGGAAAAAATGTTAAAACAGGTAAAGGCAGCAAGGTTGTTTAATGGAATTTGTGTTCCGAAATGGCGCATTGAGGTTGTACAAAGCACTGCCGAGCCTTAATTGTTCTGCTGCCGTAAGCTGTCATTTCCTGTGCGGATTTCAAGCGGTATGCACAGCTATATGAAAGCGGTGTTTTTTTATGTGCATTTTATCTATGAAGTTGTGGCCGAAGCAGATACTCAAAAATTGTACTTGGGAATCTCTTTTTTTAAACTTTCAGTAACTGCTTCATTTTAACCGCAATCCCATAGACAAAATGCATATTCACGAGTTCCGCCATCTTGTAGAGAAGCACACTGCTCGATATTCGCACGGGAAATGACAATTTACGCCTGCAGAACACTGTTACCTACCGCTCAGCAGGGCTCTGCACCAACTCAAAGCGCCATTTCCGCACACACCTTACTGCTTATTCAGATTCCCTGCACATTTCTGCCAAATATTTTTGAGTCGCTCCATATATGACAATAATTACAGTCAACTCGATTAAATTTCTGTTTAATCATTTTATTTTTAAATACATCATTTTTTACGACTGACGACTTTTATTTTTTGTCATTTATGATCAAGAATATTACAATAGCTGAAAGAATTTTACTTTAAAATGCATTTGATTAAAATCATGTAATATAAAAAATTTTTTATCTATTTTGAACTAATTCTATTGCAGCTTTTTCAGAGGTCATATACTTGAAAGGGAGACGTCATATACACGCGCGCACACAATATAATAATAATACACACATAAATAGATTAATTAAAAAATAATAAAAAAAATTTCGTTATTTAGTGGAATTTTGCTTCTGGATACTATATACCATCTTGCGCGCCTTCCTTTAGACGAAAAGACTTAATATGTATAACCAAATTTTATAGATCTCCAAGTCTGAACTATGAAAATTAAATGAACTGCCGGCAAAATTTTCCTTGCATAAATTTCAGCAGATTATTAATTATTTAATGTTTCTAACTATGACTGAGAGCGCTGATAGACTGACTATACAGAAGCAATGATGACTCAAATCTTGAACACCATGTTATACTTGAGAGTGACTGTTCGATTGAATCGAAGATAAAAATTTTGAAAAATTCCTAAAATGTTACAGAAAACTATACAGGTTAGAAATTTCGGCTAAATAAACCAGTTTCAGGGAAAGAAAAGTGTTACAACTGCTCATAAGTTTCAATAATGCCATAAACTTTATAAATTTTGAAGACAAGACGACGATGAAATGCTAAGAATAATAATGCCCTAGTACAGTAGATGAGCGTTTATACTGATAAAAAAAAAATAAAAATTCACCATGGAGAGCGAATAAGAAACGAAATAAGAAACGACGTTACAAATATCCTAAACTCCATTTAAAGGATATTTTCTGTTCTATCCAATGATGCCAAACAGTAAAAGTTTTGAGAGCTTACTTTTGTTCATAAAATGGAAATATGAGCTAAAAACCGTTTCAACATTAAATTTTAAATAAAATGCAAAAATAAAAGAAATAAAAAAAATCTGAAAGTGTTCACATTTTAATGAACGCCACGGTCATTCTTTAAAAATATTTAGTGTTTTTAATTAGATATATCATGTGCATTTTTATTTAAATCAATTCAATTAAAAAGTAAAAAAATAGCAAAAATAATATCTGTTGCTTTTATCTAGCATAGCTTATTAAACACTAACAAACAGATTAATTTTGAAAGCTTTTATCTAACATTTTTCCGAACGGCGACAGATTTGAACGAAAAGTGAAGCAACGCATTAAAGTGAAACAATGCAAAATCACATATCGACACAAATGTCCTTGGGCTAAAAAATTTAAATCTTTCATTGCTTTGCTTACTAAAGTATCACGTATCATCCCATGTGAACATAAAAACAAGTAACATAAAAAAAATTAAAATCAATTCCTACTTAGGTCAACAAAGAAAAATTTTAAAATACAAAAAAAAAAAAATTTAATATGTGAAAAAAGTGTATTAACATCAAGTGTCATCCACTACAAGTTTAAAAAAATGTATTTGAACTTGAATGGATGAATAAAAAATATTTTATTAACTTTTGAAAATTTGAATAAGATATAGGGAAAGTGTGAGCTAATAGAAGAAATTTAAAAATATGTGCAAAAAATGATTTGTGAAACGCTGTCTTATAACTTTCTTTTTATCATAATTTTAAAATTCAACAGTTAATTAAAATGCAGGCAAAAATAAATACTACAGATTTTTGAAGTAAAGAGCAAGAAACATTTAAATTTTTATTTATCACATAACAATAAAATTAACAAACCTCTTAAAAAGCTATATACAAACTTAGGTTATTTTATGGTGTTTATTACGGCCGTAATTACAAAGTTGTAAGAAAAATCTTAGAGAACAACTACAAAGCAAATGTTAATCATTTCAGAGAGTAATGCTCTGGTCTTGGGAAAATAGTGAATTTTATCTGACCTCTTAGAAATGCTTGTTGCACATATCTCGGCGAATTTTGCATGCAAAGTTTAGGAACGTTTTTTTTAATCTAAATAAAACGTAATGAATACTTTACCCTTACCTCTAATCCATAGTAACCAAATATAAGGGGCATTCATTAAAAACGAGTTAAAAATTGTTAAGATAAACTGGCCTTTCAGATAATGCTAGCGAAGTATCTAACGGCCTTATCAAACTTATGCTCCGCAAATGCTATTGTATAAGAAATTTTTCCTAAGAAGCCCATTCCTCCCAGAAAATTTAACAGTAGACTTTTATCTGTAATTCTGGGAAAACGCTGCAAATTCATAATAATTTACAATGTTGAAGTGATGCCCTGAAAGCTCTGTTTTTCTTAGTTCAGCCAATTACAGGAAGAATCTACTTCTATACAGTATACTTCTGGAAGGTCTTTCTTTATATTTTTGGAAGGAACGTATTTCTCGGAAAAACTTCTTATTGCATTTCGTATCCGTAAGTCTGCTGACGCCACAAGGTATATTTACAGTATAGAAAGAAAACTTCCACACATGCGTGGGACACCAGAAAGAACTACCTGAATCCTGACGTAAACAAAGAGTAATGAACCAACCATGTGCAACTTCCACTCAATCATTATGCATCAGGCGAGATCAGAGAAAACCTCAAAGCATCCAAAGAAGAACAAAGAATGGCAGTGCATTTATTAATTGCAGAAGACGTCGTCCATACTGAAATTCATCGAAGTATGTCAAAGGTAAAAAATTCAATATCAGTTCCAAGAGTACAGAAGCCCAAGCGTGTTAGAAATTGTCAGCGACATGCTATGTAGTGCACTAAAGAGATGCCCTTGCTGCAAAAGTGAGTGAGTTCGTTTAGCAGAACCGACGTGCAGCAATAAAATATTTGCAGGACATGTAGCTATAAAGAAAATGTGCTAAAGGATGTTCTGAGAATATAGGGTCACGTCATAAAAACTTGAATAATAAAGGTAAAAACACTTGGAAAATATTAAATCATTGGCATTATAGAACTTTTGGCTTACTTTTACAACTGTTTCTTATACAAAGGTCTCTAAAAATAGTAACATTTCTCGCCTACGAAGCTGAATTTGTTTTTAATTCTGAGCCTAAGTTTGGAAATATTTGCACTAAAAGTAAATCTCAACGGCCAATGTAAAAGGTACTGAGCAGTTCTTAAATTAGCTGTTTAAAGCCCTAGGTACTTTAAATTGGTACCTTAAGAACTGCTCAGCGAGTGTACATTTCATTGATTTTAACATTCGAGATCTCATCGTAACTACTAATTGAAGAATTGCAGTAACTAATAGATAAAAAAATAGAGAAAGTAGGAATTGCAACATTTAGAAATACATACCTCGTCCTTCTGTTTTGTCCAATTTGAAGCATTCTTTAGCTTGTTTTGTTTCTCTTTCATCATCTGTTCTTGCTGTTCGTCATAGTATTTTTCCACATCTTTTAACATTCCCAAGAGATATCTTGCTTCATACTCTTCAAACTCATCTTTTAGTGATGCCTTAGCAGCGATCTGATCATCTCGTTCTTTCAAGGCCACTGCTAAGTTCTTGGCCGTTTTGAAATTCTTCACGCGGTCGGTCTCTTCGAATAGGCGCTTGTATGCGTGATTAAGAACAACATTTTTTCTAGCTTTCATTTTCGCCTCCCTCTCGAATTCTCGCACGGCACTTTGAATTTCCATTTCATACTGCCGCTTTTTTAATTTGCTGCCAGCTTCTTTCCTGTTCACGATGGCTTTTGTTAATTCTTTGGAACTTTCCTTCATCGCTTTTAGTTTGGCAGCACGAATTTCCTCCTCTTCTTTCTTCCTTTGTAGAAACTGAGAACGAGAAGTGATACATTGTAGCTCATGTTCAGTCAAAAATACAGGCTGTTTTGGTTGCGGTACAGAACATCTGATCTTAAATGGATCCCTTGCCATGTTTCGGGCAACGTCAGCTTCTCATATTGATTTAAGGAGAGATTTAAAATTATTGATTGTAGCGAGTATTTCGTAATTCATTGAAATTTATAAGTTCGAAATTTAAATTTGAAAGCAACTTCTAAATTTGAAGCTTCATGGCAATTCAGAAATTGTAAATATATTTTAAAAGATAGCAGTATTTAATTTGAAGCACCACAACCGTAACTGTAAGAGATGATTTTAAAAAACAGTATTCAGTACTTAGTTGAAGATCATCATCGATATGATAAATATCTGAAAAGAAAATAAAATGGAAATATCGAAACAAGGAGAAACAACGAAAAAAAAAAAAATTATCAGAAACTTATACATCTGAAGGAAATTTTCTTTGTTATCTTCGCTAGGTTATTCTCATAGAAATATTTACACTGTTTCGAGATAAATAATACATTGCCTTAGAAATATCTTTTATTAATCATGTTAATACACAAATGCTTATAAAAGTTGTAAAATATAGTGGTACTTTCTTGCTAAAGCAGTTAGCAGTTACCTCGCGTAAGCGCCGAACATAATTACGCTATAATTAAAAAAAAAAAAAAAAAAAAGCAAATTCCAAATTTTCACGAAGGTTTATGTGCTGACTGCTTTAACAAGAATACACAGTATATATTAAGTCTGCGAACTCGTCATGACCAAGAGGCACATTTTTGCGCCTATCATTGCCAAGACTCTTATATGTGACAGACCGCGTCTTCCCCATTCCGTCCCAATCTCGATGGAAACCCATGGAGGTAAGGAAGTAAGAAGGAGTCGCCCTAAACAAGTTTCTCCGTACCCTGCTCTGAAGCATCGGCGATCCCTACGTGGTGACCAAAACATTGGGTTATTTACCATTGAGTTCTATGGGATTTGACGCGTTCGGGTGTAAATATTTTGTAATTACGTCGCAAATATACGTATAAATGTATATATTTTCTTTTTCTACAACACTTCAGAGTCCTAAGTATGTGAAAACAACATATTTTTAAACAAAACATTTCATTCTGAACGGAATTAATGCTATACTTTTCACAGGACAGTTTTCTCAGAATGGTTTAATTTGAATGAAATATTTTCACAAGTTTTCGTTAATTACATTAGAAAAAAAATTAAGGTTAATTCGATTTTATTCGGTTAAGGTACAAAAATTAAGATCAAAGTTTATTGTATTATTAATATTAAAATTATGCATTATTTCTTTTCTACTTATAGAGCTTCTTCCTAAAATACTTTCTTAAATATGACATGATTTTTTGGCTTCTTTAAATCGAAAAATGTAAGTCAATTTATAATTAATGCTCTATTCGGTTCATTTTAAATTAGAGAATTATTAGGAAAATAGTATTTGACTTTCTCTGAACATTTCTGAAAGGGAATAAAAATAAGTTTTTTTTTTTTTTAAGTATTATTTAAAACTTGTAACTGAGTTATTATAAAATGTAAGGGAATAATTCTTTTAATTATACTTATCAGATTTTTTTTTAACCCTTCATTTCAACAATACATATTCCAAAACTCTTTATTACGTTCTTAAGTGCGCATCTCATAGCATTTGCTTTAAAATACCTTTTAACAGATTGCTTTCCAATACGCACAATTCTTGCTTAAATAGTTTTATAACGTATTTGTCAACAGGATTTCAATTTATGTTTACAATTCAATATTAAGATTATTATATATTTAGATGACATTTATAATCATTATAAATTAGATACATTTAATCATTAGATTTCTTCACAGTGCTATCACAGTTGTTTATAAGTGAATAAATTCTTCATTTCAAATACATTTATAAATAATTTAATGAATATTTAAGTATTTTGTCAAAGGCAGATACATGCTTTTTGCAAGCACATGCATAAATACCCATACATATTTCCTATTTATCATTTCCGGCATGTGCAAATCTTTAATTCTTGTGAATTCACTATATTTTTCGTGTAAAGTAATTTACACTAATTTAGCATACACCCGAAAGTTTTACATAAAAAAATATATATGAATATAATTTGAATGAAAATTATAAGTATTATTTTTAATACCCACTCAAAGGTCAGTTTTTCTTCAAAATTCCTCCACGATGGCATCTCTCTCTTTAGGCAGATAGCCCTTGCATGCGTTACTCTATTTAATAAAAACTTAATCTGACCTATGTGCCTAATTACAAATATTTTAACATACATAATTTTATATTTACATTTAGCCATCAAGTTTCAAACTTTTCAAATCTTCTAGAAAATAAATTTTGGCAGATCTCTTTTAGCAATTTTCTTAAAATCTATATTTTTGTAGTGCAACAGCTTAGAATTTTATAAAACAAATTCATAATCAAAAATCGCTGTTGTTAGTTATCGAAAAATAACTAAGATGTGATTTTTGCGTAAATGTCAGTAAAACTATACAAATTGCTATTATCCATACACACTATGAATGTTTCTTTCATGCGAGAGTGTCCCTTTTTCGATTTCTATGGAACTGTCGTGTGTCGAAATACTATCAGAATTTGTCAAGCGAGCTTCTGAATGTAAACAAAAAACACCCCGTCTGGTGACCCAAGCTTCAAAGCAGTGCTTCACTTCTAGCGCGGAATGGCCCCTCCTCCCTTTCCTACCTCCATGTGGAAACCCCTAGGAACGTATCTAAGGATCTTCTACTATTTTTTCCCTAACACCAACTCCTCGAGAGGGCATTCAACTAGACTGCATTTTAAGGGCCCCCCATACCACAAAGGTCTTACGCATTTTAATTACGTCAGAAATGAAGACTAATAAAATTTCCATCCTTAATTGTATTTTATCCTTTAATCCTTCTTTTAAATTTTCAGAAATAATTCAGTCCACATTCCATCATCAGTATCTATGAATTTTAATTATTACTTTTAATTTCTTTTAAAATCTTATTGACTTTAAATTTATTTATTTGAAATCTTATTGATTTAAAATCTTATTGACTTTGTTTATCCTTTCATTTGTATATTTTCAAATTGAGGAGTTACAATATTTGCCTCTTCTTTATTATATATTTATTTTTTTTCATTAAGTAAAAATTAATCTTTTAATATCTTATATACAAAAAACATTTACTTAAATCTAATTTATCTTATGCTAGCATCACGTTTATTCACGCAAAATATATTGTTTTATACAAATTAATCAGTAAACAATAAAATAATGGCAATGATTTAGCTGAAACCTTATCGTTTAAACTATTTACAGCTCAGTAGTAACCTTTTAAAATTTTCTTTAGACAAAATTGTTTCTTTCTTTACCACTGAATTCATTTTCTGCATTTGAAACTATAAAATGATAAAGCAAATAAAATATTTTTATGTGAATAAATAAAGCTAATAGTATTGGAAACATATGAAGATTTTAAAATTTTTTGTACCAATACCTAGCTACGGATCGTTAAAAATTTATACTTACAGTATTTTTAAGCTTGTGTAACAACAAATGTTTACCGAAAACCGAACCATCATAAGCACGAATCATCATAAAGTATTGATTTAAACAGAATAAAAACAATTTAACTTAAATTCTCTTGAGACTTAAACATGAGTAAAATTGGTTTTAATGATCCATCGTTTCCTAAAAAAATCCAATACAATCATTATGCCAGATACCGCAGAAATTGCTGCAGTATCACGAGAACAAAAGTTTCCATGACAACTAAGGAAACATCGAAAATGCTGGCCTTCAAAGACTTGTGCTTTAGTAACGTTACAATGTATTGCGTGTTAATTAATAAGAAAATATTGTGAGGCATATGTGCTTTTGAATATTTTTTTAACATAACAGGAACATGTAATTAAAGAGATCATCGAATCCAAATTAAACAATTACGAAAAAATGTTACTGTAAAGTCGAAAAGAGTCATTTCACTTCCGCATGATCCTCCTTACTGTAGTCTTTAAAACTTTTCTAAATGTCCGTATCGCATTGCGTTAGTGACGTCTCCATATATTGTAAAGTATTTCTCTCACTTCCCTAGAGTGCCTTCGTGGTGTAACGGTAGTACGCCGGTATTCTAGAGGTCCGTGGTTGGATTCCCGGCGAAGGCGGTTGCATATTTTTCATCTTTTCTGCTTCCAATTAACCTAATGACTCTACAAGCGGCGCCCGAACTAAAAGGGTTGTGGATGATGATTCTCCGCACCCAGGATTTGGCGACTAGGTCCCCTAAAACCCTAGTCGCCCTTTAAAATGGGGAGTATATAAGGTATTTCTCCCACTTTCCTAGTGTGCCTTCGTGGTGTAACGGTAGGACGCTGGGCCGGCATTTCAGAGGTCCGTGGTTGGATTCCCAGCGAAGGCGGTTGCATATTTTTCATCTTTTCTGCTTCCAATTCACCTAATGACTCTACAAGTGGCGCCCGAACTAAAAGGGTTGTGGATGATGATTCTCCGCACCCAGGATTTGGCGACTAGGTCCCCTAAAACCCTAGTCGCCGTTTAAAAAGGGGAGTATATAAGGTATTTCTCCCACTTTCCTAGCGTGCCTTCGTGGTGTAACTGTAGGACGCTGGGCCGGTATTCCAGAGGTCCGTGGTTGGATTCCCGGCGAAGGCGGTTGCATATTTTTTATTTTTTATACTTCCAATTAACCTAATGACTCTACAATATTACGGATCAAAATGCTTTAGTCCAGCCACTCGAGTGTTCGTTCCCGTAGATCCATTCATTTTTAAGTCTATTTACTTTATGGGATATAACCTCTCGTATATACAACTGATTCGTTACACACTGCTGTCATGGAAGAAATAGCGACATCATGGTCCTTTGCAAAATATAGTTGCGTGATAAAGGTACGCTGGGTACATGGGATAAATTAAGCCTATTCACAAAATTTTGGCTCCATATAGCATTGCCAATAATTTCCGGACTATTACTTCTACAACATGTTGACCAAGTTACCGCCCTCTTATAAGGATATATACATTTGACATTCGTTATAATGACTTCTCCGGTCATTAAAAAAGGACATTAAAATGATATGTTGTAGAGTCTTCTAGTGCGTTTTGGGAGCATCTACTGAAAGATGAAGTATCGAATTCTGGCTAGGTCTTAGAAGAACAGATAACTGCAGACGGAAGATATAACAACCTTTTTATTTTAACTAAACGGAACAGAAAATGCACTCACTCGGTGCGCACAGTTACTTGTAGCTAAGTAATTTGAATAAAAATAGTATGTACAATCACAATAAATTAAAGTTTAGCTACACGACTGGCTACTACTCAGTCTAAACTCCTGGATCGGCTGCAGAGCCTAGAACATAAATACAATCTAAAGTAAGTGGCTGGCACCAATTATTCAACTACAAAGCTACTTTCGGACACGCGTCATAAATTCAGAACTAACTCTCCTACTCCGAACTCTTAAAAGCTGCTACTTAAATACGATTTTCCAACTCAATTAGATTTGAATATACGTCATTTTAAATTTGCATTCTGGCAGGAAATTGAAATCAGAAGGGAAAGCGAAGTTTCTTAAGCTAAAAATAATTGGCTAGAACGACATAAGGGCTTTACAATGTCACTGTAATAAAAACAGATTGCATATACTTTGAATATTTGAGGACTTCTTGCATGGGTAATTGTAATGAACAGACACAGCTCCAGCAGTTTTAGCGCCTTAGGCGATTAGTAAAGATGGCATCCTGTATAAATTAAATACATCAATAATTCAAAGAAAATTTCACCTCTAATCAGTTGTCAAGTTGTCACTTGTGAGAATACCTTACATGTCTTCTCCTAAAAATTAGAGTCCTAATTTGTTGCTTATGTTGTCTAAACATGAAGTAGGCCCTGCTATTGAAATAGTTATTGTAACGAGTGATTTTACAATAAGCTTCTGTTATGGAACTTTTGTAAAAGGATCCCACCAAAAAAGTCTGAGAAGCATGAACTTAGATCATGGGTTGCCACAGTTTCTGAACCTTCTCTTTAGCCACATTAAATTTCCTACAACTTGATGAAAAATTCTGCCGACGTATCACAGCGTGCATCTAAATTTTGTAATGCAAGGGAGAAACATAATATGAGACCAGAATATAAGACTACAATACATAATAAACTAACATGATAAGCATAATAGGAAACATAATACAGGGTAAGTCAAAACGAATCATCCTATTACAAATGATTATTATTTTAATTCGCGCTATTTACCAATAATGAATCAGTTTAAAATTTAATAATCCAAATTTCGTGTCGCACATTACAGATTTTGTTACGCATTCAGTCTAATCCATTTTCAGCATACGTATGCACATCCAGTGAGACTGATTATTAATGCGGGTTTGAATTACGAAAGAAGGTCGTACGGAAACGAAAAGAATATCTGTAACATATCCCCTCATCCCGAAAAAAGGCCCACAAGAAGTTAAGTTTAGCGAATTAGGAGTCCAGAATAGAAACACAGTAATTTTTCTTCTTTGGACTACAGCTTAGATGGTGTGTTGGTTGAAAAAGGATCTCTCATTAATCATATATAATGTGCACATGAAACTTTGATATTTTAAGTTTAATTTGATGTATCACATGAACCATTTATCTTGTTTACTATAACCATTTGTAACAGAATGATTCATTTTGACCTATTGTGTATTATATTGGCTTCACATATGCTCTACAAGACAACAGTGATACACTCTATACAGAGTTTTTTGAGTTTCTGAATTTTACGATGTAAATATAAACGCGCATTCTTATCACCTTGTTCATCCCTTTAATTTTCCTTGCTCGTGTAAGAAAACAAGAAAATGTTATGACGATGCCAATGCTTCCTTTCCAGATCACATTCTTGAATTCCATATGAAATGAAAAATTCAGATAATTATGATTGCTGATGTTTTTTGATACACTTCCAAGGGAATGATAAAGGGTGCTTCGTTTACGGATATTTTGAACGCCAACATATCATCACATTCCAAGCTATTTGGCTCTACCAGTGGCCGAGTGGCTGACCGCTGAATACTGAGTACCCAGATTCGATCCCAAGCGAACAAGTAAGTTCACGGTTACTTCTCGTGGTTTTCCGCATGTGTAACGTGAATACCAATCAGTTTTCCCTGATATCCCTTCATTTAGTCACATAGCCCTCGTTTGCTGTTCCAGTAACATAATCCAATAAATCTGAAATATCTGTTTATTTCAACCATAAATAACCATCTGCGAAAATATTATATAATGTAGTTGTAGTCTGAAATAATCTCAAATACTTCTAAATTTATGAAAGTCAGAGAGATAGTGCTTAGAATTAACCAAATATATTTTAGCAAAATTTAACAGATTACTATTTTTTAAACCCTCAGTTTTTCATTACAAGTTGTTACTCACTAGATAGCAACATATTAACATTTTGCATAAAATTACGTTAATCGAACCTGGTCTTTATTACTGATTTCATTGAGGACAACAATTGTGCAGGAAGAGGTATCCCAAACCAGCTGCCAGAAATCTGCTAAAGTATTTGGAAGAGGGTACTGTGTGACGACAAAATTATTCAGCTTGCCATAATCCTGAAAGAAAGAAATAGTCACGTCCAGTGAATGACACAAAAAAAAAAAAAAAAAATTAAAGTAATAGCTAAGACAGTCCTCAAATATATATGCAAATAGAGTAAATCTTTTTAAGCTATGGCAGTTATATCAGATGAAACATTTATTTTATTAATAAAGTGGTGATTCCTTCTTTAATTCCTCCTTAAAAATGCATATGATGAAATTACACAATTAAAACGCTGAGTTCAAAAATAAGGACATGTCATCAGGATTGAATCTTCGAATCATTCTTAAGGAGAAATATCCGAACCGGCCATCTTATGTTTAGACTAATTGTTCGCAAAGAGGAGGGAATCTTTAGTCGTTAAGTTCGAATTTACGAGTCTTATCCGTAAATAGAAATTTCGTAGCTCAATGGTTTACATCACCTGATCTCCTTCAAAGATTATACTCTCTTCTGTATCACACTTGCACTTACTTAGCCAAGAAATATTTTGCTTCATATAGAAAGGAAAGACTGAAGAAAGCTTCTTCCAAATATTTAGTTTAAGAGTTAACATCACTCAAGTGACGTCGCTCAACTGAAGTGAGCTAACATCACTCAACTGAAGTGACGTCGCGAAATTGAATCTTGATGCGTATAATTTTCAGACGTTTTGCTAATAATGGACTTTAAAAAACTTTAATCTTTTGATGAAAATTGTATTCAAAATGGTATTTTTAATTTCTTTTGTGCATAATATGATACTTTATTTCAAGAAGATTTAATCTGTGAAATGTTTAACAAAGATAATTTGAAAAAAACAAATATCTTAATTACTTTCTTTAAATAAATCTTTTTCTTTATTACATGATGCATTCCTAAACACGGGAAAAACGAAAAAAATATCAAGCAGGAAGAACTTGCCTACATCTTATACTGGCCTTTGACCTCCGTATGTAGAAACATCTAAGCTTTAGGCCAAACGTTTTGCTTAAAAGGTCCAGTAAACTTGCCATGACAAGACTTATTACTACGACATCTCAATTTGCGTTTCCTAATCAACTTATACGAACGGAATTTTCTGCCCACTTAATCGCTTGCTTTGATCCATTTGACATCTTTTGTCATTGTTCCGAAAGACATTCAAAGAATACCACTGAAGTAGGGAAAACAGCAAGAAAAATATATGAAATATTACCCGAAACGTCTTGGAATCAAGTATTAACAAGATCCAATATTTTCTGTTAGTATACACTATTTCGTGATGGACGTGATGACGAACCCAGAAGAAGTCGCTCTTCGCATTCTGGAATGAATAAGAACATAAAAAAAATTCGACAGCTCTTATCGCTTCGAACCGTAACTTAATACCTGTAAAACTGAGCAGTTGGCTTACAAAACTATCGAGAATTATCTTAACCCCTTGAAAAAGAAATCTTGTTTTATTCCCTCCTTTTTCATCTCGAATTTTTGAATGCCATGATTTGATCCAAATGATAAACATTAAATGAAAATTTTTTTCACTCAAATTGTGACTGGAGATGACATTTGATGATTTTTGAGGCAAAATGGCAGTCATCTGCTTGGGATGGACATGATTTATCATAGACATAGAAACTTCGATATCAGAAATCTCAGTTAAAGGTCATATTGATTATCTTTTTCGATTGGAAAGGAATTATTTCCAAGGACTTTTCTTGATGAACAAATGGTGTATCTTATTCAGACGCATGGAATAAATTTGTAAAGAGAATTGAGCGCTCAAAAAAGCTTAATCAATAACTGGCTTCCGGTGTACTGCAGTGCGTAGTCACACAGTTCTATCCTCTCAAGCAGCTTTAAGAAAATACTTCCGTTATTCACCATGCTTTTAATCTTGTCTGTTTGTCTCTTTTGTCTGTATGTCTCTCATTTGTGCGTGAAAGCGTCTGACATGCATTCGGCGCAGATAGCCAGCCAGCCTTTAAAATTTTGGGCCAGTAAATTCACTACCGCCACTTTTCTAAAATAAAGTTTTACTCAAAAGCCATTACTTTAACATCTCCGAAGAAACTCAGAAAACCGTAACGAAAGTCTTGAAGAGTATTACTAAAGATGAATTCTTTTGAATACGTTTAGGCCACCAATTACCTCTGGTCTGTGAAGGAATCGAGCAGTTGCTTGATCGTACCAAGTATTTTATAAATTTGCAAGAATTGTATACCGAAGGCTAAAAAGTAAGAATTTAATTTTATTCAACTTTTCGATTTTATATGAAACTATTCCTAAACGTTTGTAAACTAAATAAAGCCTTTAAGTGAATATAATGATCAAATAAAATTAACAATTTTCTGGAAATCAAGTTTGAATTTTAGTGCAAAACAAACAAATTACGAAACCAAAAATTAGTGTACTTACATAGGCAAAGACTGCATTGATGTAATTTGATGGAGGACTAGTTTTTAAAATTGGACGCCCATCATCGGCTGCAAAATATGACATTTTTAAGCACCGAATAACATTTTCGTTTTAAGATTAACATAAAAGAAAGCAAAATAATTTTTTCATGAATAAAATACACCCTCTAAATATTCAAACTGCTAAAATGAACTTTCTTAGTTCATACAATTACACATCCAACATCTCTAAACATTCCTCCGCATACTATGCGTATTCCCCTTTTGTTTGCAATCAATGCTAAAATGTTTAGCGAATAGTAACTGTAGCGAATAGTTTATCCAACAGATGGCAGTATCTGCCAAGCTCCTTTGGTAATTGTCATTGCGCATGTGCAAGTGGAGTGAAAAAAGAAGTATGTTATTAGGAGAATGAGCTTTCGTAAATAATGTTGCTGCGCGTTTTCGCTGTGTAAATAAAAGTATATTTTTATATCATAGATGTTCTTTACTCTCTAATTGCGAAGCACTAGGTTAGTGCACGAATCTCTTCTGATTCAGAAAACCATTTTCAAACCGTGGATCACCACAATAAAAGTGGCGTCCGTCTAACAGGACGCATTAGTTAGGTAAAGGACACTTTTGATGGTTTAACAGCAGAAATGGAAGCCTTGAAAGTAAGAAGAATACCACTGCGTGCAGCCTTCACGAAAGCATATAATAGCCTACATGGACATTTGAATGAGTCAGAATTGAACAGTGATGTTCTATTATCGTCCCTGGAAATTCTGGAAGATAAAGGAATTCGACTACAACAGTTGGATGAAGAAATATTGGATCTCCTATCAAAATCGAAAGAAGTCTAGTCATGTGAGACTTACAAGGAGAAATTAATAGCAGCCAGGATGAAAGTGAAGCAAATCACTGTGAAACTAGAGAAAAATTTGCTGACTCATGCATCGGTAAATGAAACCAGAACTGTTGATTCAAGAACAACGGCAACGAATTTGAAGCTTCCGAAAATAAATTTGATTGAATTTACAGGTGATCCACGACAATGATTGAATTTCTGGAATACCTTTAGTAAGATACACGAAGATCCAGTTGCTAGATGATCATTTGAAATTCGTATCTGATCCAGGCTACTGCTGCCAAATCGAAAGCACGGGAAATAGTGCAGAGTTTCCCGACAACTAAAGAAAATTATCCGAAAGTCATCGAACATTTAAAGAACCGTTTTGGACGTGAAGATATTCTTATACAAGTGTACGTTCGGGATTTATTGAATCTTGTGTTGATAAATAATAATGCAACCAAAAAGGACTTTGCGCTATCATCGTTGTACGACAGTTTAGAAACAAAACTGCGTGCTCTGGAATCTCTCGGTGTGACTGAAGATAAATACGCTAGTGTTATTTTTCCGTTAGTTGAATCTTGCCTGCCCCCTGACATCTTACGCGTGTGGGAGAGGGAACGGGAGAGCTCGTCACAACAAGGTAAGAGCGATCTTGAATCTATTCTTCTGTTTTTGAAAAATGAAGTGATATCTGAAGAGAGAATTAAATTAGCGCGTTTTTCTTTTGATAAAAGTAGAAAATCTAAAAAGTTACATTAATGATGAGTCTAATATTCCTACTTGTAATGATTTGTATACAGGAGACAAATTTAAAGAAAATGCTCCTATTAAGAAAGTTGAGGAATCGTGTTTATTTTGTGATAAGCCACATTTAACAGAAAAATGTTTTTAAAGCTAGTACGCTTACATATCAGGATAAAAAAGATTTAATATTTAAGAAGGGTTTATGTCTATTATGCTTGAAGAAAAACCATATTTCTCGTAACTGTAAGTCCAAGGTTAAGTGTTTAATTTGCCAGAAAAGGCATTTGGCAGTAATGTGTCAACAAGTTCCTTCTCAATTGAAAGAGACTAAACAAGTAGAGCCTGTGGCGAAAAATGAGGTCAATGTTTTGGCTAGCAGATCCGCGAGCTCCGATGTGTTACTACAAACATTAATCGTAAGGGTAAAAAATGGCAACAGGGAAAGGATAGTCAGAGGGATTATAGATACGGGTTGCGAGAGAAGTTATTTAACGAAAGATATTACAGATTCTTTGAAATGTAACAGTGTTGGTGAAGTGTAATTAGTTCATAAATTATTCGGAGGTGTAGAAACAAAAAAAAATTGCATTCTAAATATCATAGTTAATTTGAGTAGCCTTGATAATAAATATGTATGTAGTGTGCATTGTTTAAGTGAATCTGTTATCTGATTCTGATGTCAAGAAAATACCTAAAGGTCCTTGGTTGAAAGAACTTCGCAAATTAAATATTCAGGTGTCAGATGTAGAGGGTAATGCTCTCCGAAAACGAAAGTGACATTAAATTGTTGATAGGTTCTTGATATTGCTGGAAAATTATTCACCGGAAATATTAAATGTTTACAAAGTGGTCCGGTCGCGATGGAAACAAGTTTGGGATGGATTTTAATGGGTAAAATTCCAGCGAAGGAATCTTCGGTATAAATGATTCTCTTGCATGTGTTTCTTTATTGCTAAACGAAAGATCAGCAGAAAACTTGTGGAAGTTAGACGTTATTGGTATAAATGACCCAGTTGAGTCTAAAAAGAAAGCTGAAATTCATGAGGAGACCATGCAATATTTTGAGGAAAATTTGAATTTGGATTCAGACGGGAGATATGAAACTGCATTACCTTGGGTATTGGACCCCTCTCGCTTGTCTAATAATAAAACGTTGGCAGAAAAACGCCTGACTAATACGCGAAGGAAATTATTAGATTCGAATCAAATTAAAGTTTATCAGGAAGTATTTGATACGTTGGTTGAAGGAACGAATTATTGAAAGAGGTAAATGAAGGCGAAGTAGATAGAGAGCACTATTTGCCTCATAGGCCGGTTTTTTTAAAGAATCTAGTGAAACTACGCGAGTAAGGCCAGTTTTTGATGCTTCGGCACACGCCAAAGGAGAACTTTCCTTAAATGATTGTCTTGAGAAAGGTCCCAACCTAATAGAAATAATTCCAACATTGTTGAATCGTTTTCGGAAATATCCTATTGCAGTAATTTATTCAGACATTGAGAAAGCTTTCTTGCAGATTGGTATAAGAGAGAAGGATAGAGATTATTTGCGTTTCTTTTGGAAAGGTGCAAGAAGGAGAGAATACTAAAAATTTACAGAACATTGTCGCGTGGTTTTTGGGCTTAACTGTAGTTCCATTTTTGTTAGCCGCTACGTTGAACTATTCATTTAAATCGTGCCCCAGATCAGTTTGGCAGTTACAGCCAATATTTTGAAGGAGTCCTTCTATGTTGATAATTGCCTGACTAGTTTTAAGAATGTTGAAGAATTGAATAGATTTGTACTAGAATCGAGAATGTTATTGTCACTGGGGAAAGTTTAATCTTAGAGGATGGCAGTCGAATTGTGAAACCGAAATAATTCCCAACTCTAAATTAGATACATTCGTTTGCGTTTTAGGGTTAAACTGGGATTTGAAGGATGATACTCTTTCCTGTAAAATTGAGTCACTAAAGAAAGAGGAGATTGTCGCGAGTAAACGAACACTCCTTTCTTGCGCGCATAAGTTATTTGACCCAGTAAGGCTTCCTTTCTCCCGTTACCCTATTCCCAAAGGTTGATATTGCAAGAGTGTTGGAAATTACGATTAAATTGGGATCAAAAATTGCCAGAACATTTAGAAAAGAAGTCCATACAATGGGTAAAAGAACTGAAACTGCTGTCTGATGTCAAAATTCCTAGATGGCTTAATATTGACAGATCGGTTAACGAAGATGTAAGTCTTCATGTTTTCAGCGATGCCAGCAAGCATGCCTATGCTACCTGTATTTTCTTAAGAGTGAAGACCGAAAATAAGGTTTATTTAAATTTTTGTGCAAGCACGCACTAGAGTTAAGCCTTTAAAGAGTATATCCATTCCTCGTTTGGAATTATTATCCTGCTTAATCGGAGCACGCTTGGGACGTATGGTCTTTTCAGATTTGAACATGCCAAATTTAAGAAACATTCTTCTGGACTGACAACAACCGCTTTGTGCTGGATCCAGCGAGACGTACGGTGGGGAACTTTCGTTTGGAATCGTGTCCAAGAAATCAGAACACTTACAAAAATAGAAGATTGGCATTACATCCCTTCGGAGCTGAATGCCGCCGATCTCCCTTCTAGAGGCTGTTCAGTAAACAGTTTTTGCTGTCGAAATGGTGGGAGGGCCCATCATGGCTGTTAGAACCAGAATCGTCATGGTCAAAAGGCACCGATTTGCCGGACGAAGAGATCATAAATTCAGAAAGGCGTAAATCAGTATTGACAACTCTTAACAAAGATTCTAAACCTGACAATTGGTATTACAGGTACTTTTCATCCATAAAGAAAATTGTACGCATGTTAGGTTGGATTCTTAGGTTTTACTTTAAATTACGAAGAATTACAAACGAAACCTCCAAAATTTTGTTAGTTTCGGAAATTGAAAGAGCTGAGATAACTCTTATGTTATTGGTTCAAAGAGAATCATTTAAGAGTGTGAACTGAACGATGATAAAATTAAAGACCTCAGACCTATAGTTGATCGTGATGGTTTGATCAGAGCTAAAACCAATATTTCTTATCGAGACGATACTGATGACTTTAAGTTTCCTGTCATTTTGCCATCTGATCATGTAGTAGTAAAATTACTAATAATGAATGCACATAATGAGCTGCTGCATGCTGGTACTTCTATGGTGATGTCTCATTTGCGGGAAAAGTATTGGATCCTCAAAACTCGTAAGACAGTACGAAACTGCATTAGAAAATTATTAAATGTCAAAGATTTAAATCCAAAAGTTGTGATGTAACTCCAGGAATGTTTGTACGTGATGCAAATGTTTTTGAGATAGTGGGTGTCGATCTGGCAGGACCCCTCTACCTTAAAGATGGTCGAAAAGCTTATATTGTTCTTTACACATGTGCGGTCTATAGGGCCATTCATCTGGAGTCAGTAACATCCTTGACAACTGAAGCTTTTTTCCAGTCATTGAGACGTTTCATTTCTCGTCGCGGAAGACCATCTATAAT